AAATAAATAAAAATAAAAATATTATATACTCAATCCCACCAGATTAACAACAAAAAAAAGATTCCTAAATAGAAAAGGAGAGACTAAAAAAAAAAGGGAAAGAAGTCAATCTCCATCACCTTGTAGGTCTGTCACCTTTATTTTCATATCATAGGATCCTGTTAGCAAGTAGTGAGCTCCAGGGGAGAATCGAACAGAGCGAACGTCACTGGAATGAGGGTGGTAACTTTGTACCATCCTTCCTCCTCTTATGTCATACAACATGCAGCTAGAATCTTCTTGTCCTGTGGCTAAGAGACGGCCGCTGGGATCTACAGCTACAGATGCCACTGCACTGCCTGCAAAGCAGGAGGAGCGTAAGTTTCAATGTGGAAAAATCAATATAGTAAACAGCAACGGCTCATTATGTTCACTGAACCATACACTAAAAATGTAATGTAGCTTACCAATACTGCTCAGTTATGGAAAAATCCAAATTAACAGTCAACCAATAAACACTTGTGTCCTTTTAAGGGGCAAAGCATGAAGCAAGGTTCTGTGAGAAATAAGAAAGTCCTTTTTTTTTGTCATCTGGGACACCGTTACCTACAGTGCAATAGATGAACCAGTTTTCCTAATGTAGTGTCTTCACTGCTGGGTAAGTGTCCAGAAATAGTCCCATACCCAGTTTAGAGTCTAGTTGGGAGAACAAGAAATTAAATTAAAAAATGTTTCAGACACAGTGTAGAAAATGTCTCTAAGCAACACATGATTAACGACCAACGGGAACTGAACAGAAAATAAGCTCTAAGGCCACAGGTCGGAACCCTAACTCTGGACCATGCATCTATCTTCAATGGGGTCAACAGTGCCCCCAACAGGGTGCAAAATGGTGCTCAGAGGATGAAAAAATCTTAACCATTAACAACAGTTTGTAGCCCGCCAAAGCTCAACTGCACCCAACAAAATCTTACTTAGTATTTAAGTTCTCTTGTGAGGCAAAAAATTAATTTAGTTTTCCTCTTAGCAGGGACATTAATAAAAACAAGGTTGAAGAACACTGTTCTAGACCAAACTGGCCTGGGAAGACTTCACAGAAAAAACAGATATAACTTAGATGTCGAAGAATAGTAAACAGCATAAATAAGAGCATGTGTGTGTTTACATGTATTACACACACACGTAATATGATTGGGAAGAATTACATAGAAAATGTTTGCAGGGAAAGTATAAAACTGCTTCAGGATAGGCGCCTTAGTATGGCTGGAGTTACTTGGTTTAACCAGTTAACATAAAAGGTAGCTTGTAGCTAAGACATAAAAGGCAGGTTAGGGCCAGACTATCAGGCATCTTGAATCCCAAACTGCAGAGTTTGAACTTGTTCCTGTGTACAGTGAAACATCACTGCAGGTTTCCAAGGAAGAGAATTACATAATCCAAGCAGTACTTTGGGAAGATTAACTCATGTGAAAATGTGTATCAAATTAAAATGCACAGATTAGAGAGAAGGGAAGCCACTGGCAGACAAGATAGAATAGAATAACAAGAGAATAAGGGCCTAAATGAGGATAGACAGATTTCAGAAAAAAAAATAAATAATCAACAGTCTTGGCAATTAACTGCCTTGATGGGGGCAAAAAAAAGGAGTGAAAATGAGTCCCAGATTTCAAATCTAGTTGCATGAGGAAATAAGAGAACCATTATCAAAAACAGGGAAAATGGGAAGAAGAGCCGATATGCAGGGGAAATAATGAGTTTAGTTTCACACATGCAAAGTTTATGGTGCAAACAGAAATCCAGGTTTATTTATTCAACAAAGTTATTAGATCACTACTCCCTTGGGCCTGCACTATCAAGACGAGAAGGACCTAACCATTAGAATACAAGTGGAAGAACATTTCCGGCCAAGGAAACAGCATGTGACTTCACTGCAGGTAGGAGGAGTTTGGCATGTTCCAGGAACTTAAAGGAAAGAAGCAAGTGATCTGAGATGAGACTAGAAGGGTTCACAATGCCAGATCAAGCAGGGTCTCGTAGGCCATGGTCGAGTCTGCGTTTTAACCTAAGAGCAATGTGAGGTCATCAAGGTGTTGTAAGCAAGATGTAATGTGCTCTGGCTGCTGTGTGGCCACAGGCTAGAGGAGGCAAGTAGAGGCGCAGAGGAGAGGAAGGAAGCTCTTGCAGTGGTTGAGAGAGGGTGGTTTATCCTATAGTGGTGGCAATAAAGATGAAAAGTACTAGGCGGGTTTAAGATAGATTTTGGAGGCTAAAACACAGATTTGCTTTTAGACTGGATTCTGGAGGAAAGAAGAGATGGGGGAGGGGCGTCTAGGGAGACTTCAGGGTTTGGGGCATGAACAATGGGTAGGTGGGGCCACTTAGGTGAGGAGGTCTGGGGCAGTAACATTTGAAGGGAGAGGTTTTCAAAGTTTTGTTTAGGACATGTAAAGTTAGAGATACCCTGTGAGATATCCAAAAGGAGAGGTCAAGTAAGTGGGTTAGAAATATGAGCCTGGCACACAGAAGTTTGGGCTAGAGATGAAAATGTAATGTCTACCAGCATATTAGCTATACTTAAAGCTGAGGGAATAGATGTACTCATCTGGAGAAAAAAAGGAGACAATGGTCCTGAGTCCTAGGACGTTAGTCCCTGCCAAAATTTAGAGGTTGCACAGAGGAGGAAGAACCAGCAAAGGAGTAGTTATCCAGAAAGGTAAAAGAAGAGTAGAATGCCCAAAAGAAAAGAGGAAGAGGTCAGCTGCTGCATGCCACTGAGAATTGAAGTCAAATAAGGATTTAAAAATGATTTGACAACATGAAGATTGTTGGTGATCTTGAAAAGGCAGCTCTTGTTAGAGGAGTTGCAGCAGAAGACAGACTGGGGTAGACTGAAGTCTGAGGGTGAAGAAATGGAAACAGTGTATGTAGGCAAGACTTTTCAGACATCTGGGTAAGAAAGGGAGAAAAATATCAGGGTCAGAGCTGGGAGGGGGATAAGGAGGTCAACAAAGAAACTTTGGGTCATTGCCAACTCTATAAAATGTTTGTATATATGTGTATATGGTAGAGAAGCACAGAAGGAGAGATCTGGTAGACAAGGAGATGTTAATGTTGCAAGAGAGAGAAGATGACCAAAAAATTGAAGTCTCTGAAAGGAGAGAAAAGGGGCCGAAAATAATTTAGACAACTAGGGGGACAGTTTAGAGATAAATTAAAGATAAATATATAGAAACTAAGCAAACAAAACAAGACAAAATTATTAACACCAAGGTCTAAATGGCCCTGCTAACAGAATAATTAGGACATGGTATTAATCTCCCTGGGCCTCGGTTTCCTAAGCTGAATATTATTTTTACAAATAAAGTAATAGGTAAAAGCATTTTTGGAAGAACTTAAAGTATTCTATGAAATACCAAGTATTTACTTTACTATTGTTCTTTTTATTTTTTAACATATATATTGCAGGGGAGAAGGAGTAGGTGAGTGAAATTTATAAAGTTTCTTCCTCGTCAAAATTCATTTAAATTATAGAAAAACCTACCAGTTCCATGGAATGTTGTGCCAACAACACGAACACAGCTTGGTACTCGAAGATCCCAGAATCTAACAGTCTTATCTTGGGAACCAGATGCAATCATCCAACCACTCCAGGTATAAAGTGCTAAAATATGGCCTATTAAAGATCATATATTCAGTTATTAATGTAAAATAGTCCTTTTCTAAAACACATTCAAAGCTAAGTACTCCTTATTATTGGGCATGCCATGATCTGGTTAATCAAATGTACTATGTGGTAGAGATTTTCCACATATTTACATTGGTGACTCAGTGGCTTACGACCTCATATTAGTACTTAAAAAACATTTTTATTTGAAATTATGGCAAATTTTCCACACAGAATTTCCACACAAAATTTGGGGTTAGATCAACAGCTTTGGAAGAGACAGACCTAGGGTCATATCTCAGTTCTGCCACATTTAGCCATAAGATGTTAGCCAAGTCATTTTGCGTTTTCAAGTTTCACCTTCTTCATGGATGAGATGGAGATAAAACTTTCTTCCCCTTAAGGTCGTTGTGAGGATTAAATTAAGGAATTATGTGTGTAAGTAAAGGACTTAACACAGGGAAATGTTACCCATCAGTACTGTGTTGTCACCTAAAGTTAACAATTTAAGTTTCTGAAAAATGTCCTGTCTTGAAGAAATCGTTTTGATGAAATATATCCCATTAATAAAACGCAGAAGGGGAAAAATCACAGGTTGAATAAAAAGAAAAACAGCCTCTGAGACTGATGGCACATACCAGTGTGTCCACTCAGAGCATGCAGGCCCTGTCCTCTCTGACAATCGGTTGTATAAATATTACAGTCCCCTGCGCCAGCACTTATCAAAATAGCTCCACCACTTTCCGGGCCTTCCATAAATGCCAAGTCTCTAATTGTCCCATCATGCATGCTAAATTCCAGATCCGGTCCTGAAACAGCAAGAAGAATTAAAACAAAAAGATGCTGCTCAACTTACTGTGATAATTTGAGATTGCTAAACTGCCTCAAAATTGACCAAGAATAATGGTAGAGTGGTATGGTTTATATTTTCATTTAAGGATTGGTATTATAATCAATTTCACTTTACTGAGCAAAGAACTTCAAGAAATCAAAATACTGATTCAGTTACCATCATCTCTAAAACAGAGCTAAGTAGTTTACCTTCTTGTCTTTTACCCCAGAGAAAATGAAAGAGAAGACAGATACTCTCTAGAACATATACAGTAATAAAATTCTGGTAATTATTTAAAAGTTATTTTTCTGATAACGGTAATTTTCCAAGGATTAGACACAACCTGGACACCTGTTAGAACTTACTAAAAAAGAGTAATGCCTCATGAATGCAACTAAGCAATGAGAATGTAAAAAAATTCTTCTTAAGGCTGTATTCTTAGATGTTATTAAAAGCAGTACAGACGTATATCAGAAATACAACATGGGGAAACATACAAATACACTGGTGAGCTACTGCTTGCATACTTGGGCCCTACCTGTTGCATTACAAGTCTCTGCATTGAAGGGCAGCACTTTGACGTATTTGTCATTTGATCCTGTTGCTAATAACTGTCCACAAGGACTCCATGCCACACAGTAAATGGATCCTTTATGATGTTTATTCCTTTTAAAACGCACCACTGGCTGCTTAGGGGTGTCATGTGCACTAGAAAGAAAAATTACAGAAAGATATTTCAATTTCTTGCTTGCTAAAGTTAATGAATATGAAGTTCTCTATAATGGTTGTTCTTGAGGGAGCGAGCAAAAAGAGTATCAGACAACATGTTAATAACAATTTTCAACATCTTAGATGAAATAAACTTAAAGTATATTTAAAACCCAAAAGTAAAATTATAAATCATTATTAACCTAACTCTTATTTCAGACCACATAGGGAACAGGACATTTTTCTTAAAATCTCCATTTCACATATTTTTAATGGATTTTTAACTCAGAAACACAAAAAAATTTTAAAAGAGTTAAGAATGCTTACAAACTCAAAAAGTTCAATAAACATTTATTAAACATATAATATGAGCAGTTGCCTGGAGCTGGGGGATGGATAACAAGTAAAGGAGGCAAGAGCTCGTCCAGAGTTTAAAATCTGGCAGGGGTACATGTTGCCATGACAACCCACTAACAGTAAGGTATAATGATAACATCAAACCTATGTAAGAAATTATACATATTTTTGAAGATTCATCCTAAAGGGTGAAATGATATATCTAATAGGATTTACCTTAAACTACTTAAGCAAACAAACAATAAGGACAAAGCAAATGTGACAAAAATCTTGACAACTATTGCATTTTAGAGTACTAGTCTCTATTTCTGTGTATGCTTCAAATTTTTCATAATTAAGAAATTTTTAAAAAGAAAGAAGACTGATACATCTCCAATGCCCAGAAGGTGCTTAATATTAATCCAGAAAATAGATGCAATAGGAAGATTCTCTTCTCAGTTGTATATCCAATTCACCGCCAAGGCCTACTAATTCTTTCTTTAAATGGATTTTCCCTCCATCCATTGTGCTCCATCTCTGTTGCCATTACACTAGCCATCAATGACAACAACCTCCTTCCTTTCTCCTAGCATCCACTCTTACTGCCATCTGACCCACAGCCAGAGTGATCATCTTAGATCACAACACTGCTCTGCTCAAAACTTTCAGCAGCGGGGCCGGCCGAGTGGCGCGATGGTTAAGAACTGGCTTGGGATGCCAGAAGGCCCCGGTTCGGATCCCACATATGAGGGCCAGTGACACTGCCCTCTACAGCTAAGATGCTGAGCAACAGCTCAACTTGGAGCTGGGCTGCCATGAGTCGCCGGCGATGGCGTAGGCTGCAACCCCTGTGGCAGTGGGTTGCCATTGGCTACCGTGTGTAGCCAGCAGCCAGCGTGAGCGGCCAGCAGCTGCAGTGAGCGGCGCCCAGAAGCCGGCGACTGATGTGCCTCACCCAGGAAGAGCGCAATGATGGTGCCAACTTGGGCCAGTGAAGCAACGTCCTCCACAACTAGACTGAAGAACAAAAACGACACAACTTGTCTCTTCCCCTTCCCCCAATTCCCCAGCACTGTTCCCATCCCCCCAATTCCCCAATAAAAAAAATCTAAAAACAAACAAACAAAAAAAACTTTCAGCAGCTTCCCATTGCACCCGGGATCAAATACAAAATGGCTACAAACCTCTGCATAATTGAGTTCATGTCTATCTCTGTAGCCTCATCACAATCCAACTCATAATACTCCAGGCAATCTGAACTTATTTTGGTTCCTCAAAAAGCCAAGCTCCTTTTCACTTCATGTTCCCTCTGGTTTACTATCTTCTCCCTTCTCTTCACCTGGTTGGGTTCTCCTCCTCCTCAGAACTGTTTTAATTCCTCTTCCTCAGAGAGGCCTTTCTCTGACTCCCCAATCCTCCCAAATCCCTGTTCTCCTTAACAGCACCTTGTACTTTTTCTTCATAACACTTAACACAATGTATAATTATATTTGTTTGTATGTTTATTTGCATATATGTTCATCTTCCCCACTAAACCAGAAGTTCCATAAAGTCAAAGAACATGTTCCTTTAATCACAACTGCCCCCAAACCCTAGAATAGTACCTAGCACACAGGAGCTCAAAATCTATTAATTAAATAAGTTTATTTTCATAAAAATCACTTTCTTCATGAGCAGTCTATGAAACATCTATGCTGGCATAAGAAATACAAAAAGGAGAAACAGTTAACTTAAGGTCAAGTTAACCCTAAATATACAAGTCTTTGACACTGTCTCCAAAATTATTGCTATTTTCCACTCTTTGACCTGGAATTCTGCCTATTCTCATCATGTATTCCTATTTAACTAACATAATGAGCACCAATAAATTATATTACTATCACCTAGAAGCAGCCAATCCCTTTCCCAACGTTTAATTGCTACTGCAGTGTAAGAGCCTAAATTTCTGCTTTCAGATACAGAGATACCAAAAAAATGCAAATAAATAAATAATGTCACCCCTCTGTTCTCCAAACTAGGGTTATAATAAAAATGACTTAAAGGGTTGTAAAAAATTTCCAAAACATAGATAACAATTAAGTAACAACAAAATTAAGTATAAAAATTTTTATATTTAATTTTTAAGGATTTGTGGCTTGTTTTGTTTGGGTGTTTTTGTCTAATGATATGAAAACTATTCCATCTGTGGAATTCATTTCTCTAATCACAAAATCTACCAAATGGCTCATGGTCTTTATTATGCTGACTTATTCTTATAGTAAAAGCCTTAACAAATAAATTGACAAAAAGAGTACCTAATCAACGAGTAAGAAGTTCAAATTCAGTTTTCTGTGAGGTTATATAAATAAACTATGTACTTTCTTTAAAGAATTGTTGCATGCCTAATAAGGTCATATGCCCATTTTTAATGACATATGCCTTTAAAGACATATGTTTTATTTTCAAATCCCATAATCTGTTAAAAACAAGGTAAAATCATAGTTAGGTTGACCAAACGAAAATGGAGTGTTTGTAGGTCAAAATGGTCAAATATCAGCAATTTCATATAGTTCAACCTAATACATCTTTGAAGCTATTATTATAAGAAGTGTATTATTTTCTCAAAGTATATAACTAGCATTACTTTATCTTATGTAATTTAACTGGAACATAAGAATTTTTAAGATTAAAAAAACAAAATACAGAAGCCATGGAAATAAGGAAAACTAGAGTTAAATGAACAATGGCCTAACTGAAAACATTTTAATCAATAATTCTTAGGTATATATCCTAAGCACTGAATATAAAAATTATAAAACTTAATAAAAAGAAATAAAAATTAAACACTACTGAATGGCAATTCTGAAAAAGGAACCAATATAGCTAAATTAAAAACTAAAGCAAGAATGGCAATACAAACCATCTATCCTTACCTTGGATCAATTACTTCTGGATAAGCACATACTCTCAGCGTTTTCGAATTTGAACCGACAGCATATAAACCACCACCTGGATGAAAAGCCACTGCTCTAACAGCCTGTGTGTCTTCTAGGGTATTAATACAAACAAACTGCTTTTTTGATTTGTCATCCTATAGAAAGAATGAACATGAAAGTCATCCTATGAAAAAAATGAATTTGAAAGAATTCATCTTTATCCCATTTTAAATTCATTTGAACCTGTATTATTCACTTTATCACTTTATGTTTGTTACCTACAATCATATATTCTGTTAAATGGCAAACCCAATTAACCCCAATTTTTCCATTTTTTGCTACTCATTGCTAACTAAGCTCAGATAGGTTACAGAAACTCAAGTTTTTCTTCACTGACTATGACAAAGTATAAGAATACACATTCCCATAGTAAGTTCTCCTTGTCAAGGAAAAAAAATAGCCCACATATACAGCCTTCTAAAAACAACATAACATTATTTGTGTTTCTAAAAGTAGGAAGTATTAAAGGACTATTCTATAGTACACTTAGGGTAAAAAAAAAAAAAGTTTGACATTATCTCCAGCAAGTAATACTTTAATATTTCATACTGAAATTGTAAAACACCCTTTTGAAAATTGTAAAAATTATTTTAATCCGAACATTTTATTTGAGCCTCATTTTACAGCTCTCTTCTGAGGAAGGCAAGTTGAAATAGTTCTGTATAAAAAAGCTTTGGTGACTCCTGCTATTGGTGTCATTTGAAGTCACTCTGCTACCCTGACCAGAATAACTGGACCTAGAAGAAGGACATCCAGACTGGGTGTGGTCAACAGACCATACCAAGTCCTGTCTTTGGGAAGTATGAATGTCAAGTGCATACACAAAGGTAAACCACTTTAGCTCTGGTTGTATCCTGAGAGCTCTAGGACCCATAGTAACTATATCTATGAAGAGATTATGCCTCTCCCTATCCAAACTTTTATGTATTCATGAATACATCCTTATGGAGGAATAGGGGGTCAACCTGATATGTCACATTATGTTTCTCTGGTGTAATTGAATTAAATTGTTATATTATTCATATGAATTTATTTTACTAGAAATGTTACATTTTTCTAATAATTCATATACAAGAAATATGACTGCCAAACAAACAGCATGGGCAAGTAACAGAAGAATGGGCTATAGCATATTAATAATAATTATTACTAATAATTGCTTTATAGCAGAAGTGGCAGAGCCACAAATAAGCTTTATTGCTCTTCTCCAGTGGGTTTAAATTTTTTTTAATTTGTTGTCATTTTGAAAATAGAGTTCACATAAAAATCTATAGTTCTAGCTTCTCTTAGAAATCAAAAGAACTGGAAACACTAGGCAACCATGTTTCTTTGTGCAAGGGACAAATAGTCCTAGGTGCTTATCACAAAAATAGTCAACTTCATTTATGTTAGCAGGGGTTAAAATTTAAACTAGAGAAAATAAGATAAAAGTGAAGCTGTATACTAGTTAGGGAAGGATGTCTGATTCTGAAGCAAAAAACAGGCACACTGATGAGAAGCCCACAGGAGATATCAATAATAACTGAACATAGAGTTCAGAGAGCAATGCACAGCCCCAACTCATGCACGAAGATCTCTACTGGGCCATTAATATGAATACTCTTAAATGGGCTTTTGAGGCAACCTCTTCACTTAGCCTAGTGAAAGCTCAACTACCTTGAGATAAATGCTGCATTAACAATAATAACTATTTCCAAAATTGGTCCTTCCTTTGAATTGAGAATTCCTTAGCAAACTTTGTAAGTATATATAAAAACACTGAAACCGTCCCCAAAGTATTACCTCTTCCCCTCTTGACCTTGAAAGAGTCCCTGAAGAATCTCCAAAAGGTGGCTTAATGACCAAATGTTCTGATGAGCTGTGTGAGTAGAAATTCAAATAAAGTTTATTCTGAATATCAAAACAGAAACTAAATTAATTTATCCTTTCAATCTCTAATTTTTATTTTTTATTTTTTTTGGCAAATGACCCTATTTCCAGTCAAAGTTACTCTCTGAAGCCATTTATTAAGAGGCTTTGGATTCAGTAACACCATGCATAGTTGTAAGGAAGGAGTGAGAAGCCATTCTGGAAATGAAAATAAGTCAAAGTCCACAAATTTTGGGCCAGCCAGTGGCTCAGTTGGTTAAGAGTTCGCTCAAGAGTGTGAGCTTTGAGCAACAGTGGTTCGAGTCCTGGCCCGAGCTGAGCTGCCAACAGGTGGCAGGATGGCTCAGCTAAAAAAAAAAAAAAAAAAGTCCACAAATTTTATAGTAAGATATCAAATACCTTTCCCCTGCTAGTTCGACAATCCTGGTTGCTATGCTTAAATCCCACTCCGGCCAGGAACTTGGATTGCTGTTCAGGAAAATTATCTGGCTCAAGAGAAAAGACTAACAGAAACTGACATTTGAGGGCCCCACCATAAAACAATGTTTCTACTTAATCACTTTTTTGAGGGGCCAACGGGTAAGACAGATCCATCCATATATATAGACCTTCCTTCCAGTCAACATTTTTTTTTTTAGCTGAGTCATCCTGCCACCTGCTGGCAGCTCAGCAGCAGCTCAGCTCAGGCCATGAATCGAACCGCTTTTGCTCAGAGCTTACGCTCTTGAGCGAGCTCTTAACCAACTGGGCCACTCGGCAGGCCCCAGTCAACATTTTTTTAATGCTTGACTCTTCACAGATAGTAAAAGATTTCCAGCTACTTGAAGAAAGTCTCCTAGATAAAACCCAGGGACGAAAACAAACAAAAGGAATTTGCAAGAAGACAGGGAATTCAGGAAACAAATGCTATAATATAATTAAAATTCTTAGAGATATGAGGAAATAATCCAGGAAACAAGAAAAAGATCTATAAAAAATTTTTAACGGAAATTAGAGATTAAGAAAGAGTTCAAAAAATAAAAATACTGTAGCAGAAAAAAATTAATAGAAAATGGAGATGAGGAAATTGCTAAATAACATTTTTTTCTATTTCCCAGAACTTAAGTTTCCAGCTTAAAAGAGTCCCCAAAATACCCAGCAAAATGAAGCACAATATGCCCACTCTGATGTATATCATAGTGAAGGGGAAAAAAGTCTAAAAAATTCCAAAGTGGAAAAATTACCTGGCTTCATACAAAGATCAGGTGAAAATGGCATCAGACTTCTTAACAAAAACACTGAAACATGTATCAATGCCTTTGAAACTCTCCTCAGAGTTTATGATTTCCATCTGAGAATTCTATAGTCAGCTATGCTAACATATCAAATGTGAAATATTTAGCCATGCAAAGTCTCAAAAACCTTCCTTCTGATGTAGCTCTTTTCAGAAAACTACATGAGACCCTGAAAACAGGGGATCCAATAGAGGGAAGAGGCAAAGGAAATTCCCAGGAGGATGGTGAAGGCAAATCCCAGGATTCTCTAGGCCTGAATAAAATTGCCTAGAAACAATGGATATAAAGTGAAGCAGGAGTGATGCTGGAGGGATGTCTCCCGAGGGTAAAAAAAATAAAAAGAAAAAGTACCTGATTTTTTTTACTATAATAAAATAGTTTTATAATTTTACAGTTCTGTCAAAGCATTTGCATATAGTTTAGTTATAGGTACGAAGAAAACTAAGCATGCGCACACATACACACACACAATAAAAAGTTGCATGAAAAGGAAATTTAATCATATTACACAACATGACTCAATTGTAAATAAGGTTTACATGGCCATAGAAATGTTAACACTGAATACTGACATAAACAAAAATTGATATATATTGAAAAGGAATAGACAAAGTGAATGTGTTGTGGGTGGGGAGTACGGTAGCCAAATCTAATTGGAAGAGAATCTATGGAATAGTAATAGAAGCATGTTATTCAGAAATATGGAGATATATAGCAAAAGAAACAGCTACCTGGGTTGAAAATGGCAGCCTAATGGAAGCAGGAATCAAGGACAAAGATGGGTAAGACGAGAGATTCTGAGTTATTTTGTTTTGTTATTTTGTCAACAATGCATAATAATATATTGGAATGCTTCCTACTCCTCCATCTTGACCAGAAATCAGGGGATTCTGTTTTATATTAAGCCTTGAAGTGCTATTTGTCTTTTTAAACCAGGTATGTATATTATCTTGATAAAGATAACAATTTAATTTTAAAATTTGAGTTCTACTTTTGGGGGTACACAAAACCAGTGTTACAGGAACTATAATAAATAAGCAAACATTAGATAAACTAATGCTCTTAAGTATAAAACTAGAGTTTTTGATACTAAATTTATAAGGCTGATTTCCTATAAACATCCCAAATGCCAAAGCAAGTTACGCATTTTCAAATGAACCACTCTCAAAGGTGTTTCATGTGAAGAGTAGATGAAGAAAATGCTCCTTAACTATTCCCACTGCATAAATTAACACTTGTTTACTAATGATAGCAGGATAAAAAAAATTTTCCCTGACTAGGGAAAACATAAATATGGAAGAAGTCTCCAATTGCTGTAACTGCCTTGCTGCAATCATTCCACCATGTTAAAACACCTCCTGTGCCCTGAAAGTCTGTGAATTAAAAGATTATATGTTGAAAGGTACCAATGGAAAGAAAAAAGAAAATCAGGGAGAAGATAAAGCCTAAAACTATATGGTCCCTGAGTAAGATGGCTTATTAAAAAATAGATTGTCTTGGTGGTGGTGAGAAAACAAAAAGAAAAACAGGGGAGTAAAGACTATTAAAAGACTTAGAAGTCAGTAGAAGAAAATCTAGATAAACGAAGGAAGATTAATAAAAAAAACTATCTGTAAGGCTCCAAAGAGAAGTTCAAATGTCTATACTTCTATTCATTAGTAGGAAATTACTATTTACAAGTTTTACAAAGTAAAGCACTTACATTTGGTTTCCACTAGAAGGTGATTCCTCAAGAAAAGGTATGTGGTTTGTTGATCCAGGGTTACGAGGAGTGCTTGTGTGGATATTTGAAGCATCGTGTGTTAATCTCTGACTAGAGTCTTGGGGCGGTGTAGCAAAGCTAACTGCAGAACAATTATTAGATCCATTGCCTTTGCTCCCATTACATTGCTGGCTGATCACTGAGACCTCATTGCCAAGGCTATCCATTCCAACATTTAATTCACCAAGCTTTTGAATGGACCTATAAAATAAAACAATGTAATTATATTAAAATAAAAACTTAATCACATTCCTAATATATATAAGATTAAAAGTTTTAGAAGGTAAATGAATACATGCACATATAATATATAATACCTGGCCAGTTTAGTACTAAAAAATTACCATCTTCAGCTTAAAACATAACCAAGATACTGAAAGAAGATCCACATTTTTCTATAGTATACCCCTGCAAAGGAAATAGGGATAATGGGTACCACTGACTTTTTAAATACCTTTTACCATAAAAACAGAAAAAAGCTTGTTTCTTCTCTGGTATAACTTTGGTTTAATTTTTAATTTAAAACTTAATTTCCAAAAATAGTCAGTAAAAATATCACCACTACCAAAATTTCTCACCAACAAAATGAGACAAGCCATTTTCATTTCAGCTGTCTAGTAATACCATGTCAACTAGGAAATAAATGACTAGAGCAGGCCATGATGGGACAAAGTCAAGTGTCATCCTATTATTCACACATTCATTCATTCTACAAAGACTATTTGCCAGACTCTGATCCAGACATTAGGGAGATAAAACAGGGAGCAAAACAAGTTAGTCTCATGGCCTTTTCCTCACCATAAGCCTCTATATCATAGTAGCCTGACTCCTTCTGTTGGATTCAGGGATCCAAGGGACACAAAGAGGAGGCCAGGCTTTCTTAAGATTTACATCCAGAACTGGTCCAGCATCACTGTCTCCAGGCTAGATTTAATTTGAGAGAGGACTACGCAAGGGATATGATTACCAAGAGGTGTTGTGGTTCACTCTATATTTTCTAACATTTGTGTGTGTGTGTGTGTGTGTGTGTGCGCGCGCGCGCACAGTTCAATAGTATTAAAGATGTTGGCAGCCATTACTAAATATTTATCAGTTAAAAATTTTAAATAGGCAGTATTTCCAAAATATCTTTCTAGGAAACACTAACCCTGTGCAATGCTCTGTATATAAAAAAGAGTCTGAGGTCAAATAAATTTGATAAATGCTAAGCATGAATAGTCTAAAATGCTGACATATCATTTTGACTCTCTAAAAGTAGAAGAGGATGGGGGAGGGGCAGAATATTCCTATAATAAGTGCCAAATCAGTGATGCCAATTATTAGTATTAATAGAAACAAAATATCAAGAGGTATAAAGTAGTGATACAGTACTGTTAATAAAAATCCTATCATACTTTAGTTGATTTTTTTTAATAAGATCTATTATACAACATAACTTTTATTTCTCTCTTACTATTGCTCTTGGAAGGAAGAAGCAAAATTTAAATCTGGAAAGTAAGCTCTGTTGCTAGAATGACTTGGAAGAATAAAACATTAAGGGCAAAAAGCATGTCTTAATTTATAGATTCTATCTCTATTCAGTTGGTCCTTGGTATTAGTCAAGTATTTTAAAGTCCCCATACTGGCTCAGATACAAAACTCAAGGGCCTAAAAAAAAAATTGAATAAGAGTATTATATTAAAGGGTTAAAAAACAAAATACATTAGAAAAAGTTAAGAGAATAACGGAGAATTTATATGAAACTAATTTACAAAAGTTTAGGATAAACATCCATTCATACTTAATAATAGGCCTGGTTAGCCCATGGATTTTTATAACTTACTTACCTTTTAATGTAATTTTAAATTCTGATCTCTGAAGAAATTGAGACTAGCTGTTAAACAATAAATATGCTCTACATGGAGCCTAAATTCCAAGAAATATTGGGTTGTCAGAAAAGTCATAACGCATTTTTGCAACGAAAAACATAGAAAAAATACATCATGACTTTTCCGACAACCCACTAATTTTAATCCTATTTATAATTGTCTTTAAAGGAAGGAAAAACCATCTTGAACAGTTTAACTTTTTTCCTGAGGAGTACATCCCTACCACTACTGGCATCGCAGAACCTTTCCACTTCAAATTCTGACTTAATGCTAGATATCTGCTTTTGCTGAAAAATAGTCAGGGAGTCGAACTGCAACCACGATTTTTATGGATAAGGAGAAGCGATCCAAGGACCAGAAGTGCCAATTCATCAAATTAGGAAAATTCTGATAAGCTGCGGACTTAATCAGAGGTGATAAGAAAACCATCTTCAAATTGAGTGTTCAGAGGCCTACTTAGACTCTTTAGATTACCATTATAAACATTCCTTGTGTGACGGTTTATAGGCAGGATAAACTTCAGGATCACTGACTTGCACAAGCCTAGCAGATTACTTCCAATATTACTGAACCAAGTAAAGAACTGACAATCACCACTGCATTGCCTAATCATAATTGTGATGATAGCCAATTATGGCACTTCTTATATGCCGAGAATTATTCTAAGTAATTTTATATAAATTAACTCATTTACTCTTACACATTTAAATACACATATTCTGGTTTATTAATTTAAAAACCATGATTGATATATACATATATATATATATATATATATATATATATATATATATATAAAAACTATATTATATATTGGGCTGTCAGAAATGTCATGACATATTTTTTCTGGTTTTCGTTGCAAAAATGCACCATGACGTTTCTGACAACCCAATATATATATATATATATATATATATATATATATATATATATATATATATATATATATATATATATATATATATCACACACACACACACACACACACACACACACACACACACACACCCCTCCTATAATTCAAAACAATATGTTTACACTGTCTTGACAGAAATTATAAGAATCATTTTAATACACTGAATTCAGAAGAATGTGAAGTGTAAGCCCTCAAAATAACAATAAAAACAACAGCTAACACTTAATATAGTGCTTACTATATGCCAGGTACTGTTCTTGGCACTTTATATCTAGTAACTCATTTCATCTTTATGGCAATCCGGTGAAGTAGACGAGAAAACAAGCAAAAAGAAGCTAAGTAACTTCCCACATGTCCTCAGCCACCCTGGGACAGAGCTGGATCCACCTGGCAGTCTGCTTCCAGCCGGGGCACTGAAGCACCACCACACTCTTCTGCTCTCTTTACTTAGGTGTGAAAGGACAAAACGAGATAAACCCTCAGAATGCTGTAACTGGAAGATATGTACCTCCACATTATTTGAAACACAAAGCCTTAAAATTTCAAACTATACATGGAAAGTAGCAGTGATTGCATGTTTCTAAGAGCTTTTAAATAATTCCTTATATGTTAAAAAGTGACTGAAAGACCGACCTATTAAGAAATTGTTCAGTAAGATTCTGCTGCTGATCAGGGCCATCCTCCTGATTCACGCCTCCTTCAAGCAGCATCTGTTGGTATATCTGTCGCTGCTGCTCCTTCTGTTCTAAGTGCTGCTGATAACGTAACCTTTGCCTATAATATTCTTGAAATTGTTCCGTTGAATCTCGAAGCTTAAAAAGATTAGAAAAATATATTTGAGCAGACTGTGATTGAATATATCCCACTCAACAGTAACGTCTATAAATGCTGAATAATATACACAAATAGCTATGTTTAATAATTAGAAAAATACATAACATATTGCTCTTTGAAAAATAACATGGTATCTATGAGTCTTAATAGTCAAGTAGATCAGCTAATTTGCTTTATTCCACAGCAAGAGACTGGCTAAAATGAATGGTCATCTTGGATCTTTGACTTACCCCAGACAAAAATACAAATTATAGTGGTCACAAGGGGGACATGGTTAAAGAAAATAATCTAGATAAAGACTAATATAAATCTATCTATATTACTTGAAAAAAAAACTTCCTGAGCGACTGCATTAATATTTAATAAACACAATATTAGCCTTATCCAACACAGTTAACTTAATAGATTAAGCTACAGAGAAACTTATAAAATTTTTCTCAAAAACAATACTTTAATTCAGGTTTCAAATGGTCTTTCACAAGAAAGTGGAATAAATAGGTGTTAAACTTAGCAGTTCAACATTCCTAATTCACTCTTCTAAAAGAATCTATAGCACCCAAACTTATAGGATTTAAATATTTAAGTGAATTCCAATATTGGTAAAGAAACAGTCCTTTACCAAGCTGGAGTCTGGTTATATTACATGGATCATGTGAACCAGGGTTCCCCTGGAACAAAATAATCATCTCTAAATTTGACCAACACTGACAACAAGGTTAACCAAGACCTTCATGCAGCTAACTAAAGCTAAAACTGTCTTCCTTTTCCAGGAAATAGTAACAATCCTCCTCTATTTCATAACGTTTAGTAATAACTGAGACAAAATTATGTCCTTTTAAAAAAATTTTGTCGTAAAATATAAAATTTGTCATTGTAACCATTTCTAAGTGTACAATTCAGTGCCATTAATTATATTTATAATGTTGTGCAACCATCATCACTATCTATTTACAAAAATTTTCATCACCCCAAAAAGAAATCTATAACCATTAAACAATAACTCCCCATTTCCCCTCTCCCACGCCCCTGTTTATCTCCAGTCTACTTTGGTCTCTGAATTTGCCTATTCTAGTTATTTCATATAAATAGCATACAATATTTGTTCCTTATTTGTGTCTGGCTTATTTCACTTAACATGTTTTCTAGGTTCATCTGCGGTGTAGAATGTGTCAGAACTTCATTCCCTTTTATGGCTGAATAATAGTCCAATGTACGGATAGACCAACTTTTGTTTATCCATTCATCTGTGGATGAATACTTGGGTTATTTCTACCTTTTGGCTACTGTGAATAATGCTGCTATGAACAAAGATGTACAGATATCTTTTGAGTCCTTGCTTTCAGTGCTTTTGGGTCTATACCTAGGAGTGGAATTTCTGGGTCATATGGTAATTCTTTGTTTAGCTTTTTGAGGTACCACCAAACCACAGTGACTGCACCATTTTACATTCCAACCAGCAACGTTTGAAGGTTCAAATTTCTCCACTTCCTTACCAACACTTGTTATTTTCCACTGCTTTGATTTTAGTCATCTTAGTAGTTGGGAAGTTACATTTCATTGTGGTTGTGATTTGCATTTCCCTAATGACTATTGATGTTCAGCAACTTTTCATGTGGTTATTGGTCATTTGTATACATTCTTTGGAGAAATGTCTATTCAAGTCCCTTTTTAAATTGGGTTGTTTGTCTTTTTCTTGTTGGGTTGTAGTACAGGCATACCTTGGAGATATCATGGGTTTGGTTCCAGACCACTGCAACAAAGTGAATATTGCAATAAACGAGTTACATGAAATATTGCTTTCCCAATGCATATTTACACTATACTGTAGTCCATTAAGTGTGCAATAGCAGTATGTCTAAAAAAATGTACATACCTTAATTAACAAATACTTTATTGCTAAAAAATGCTAACCATCATCCAAGCCTTCAGCAGTTGTAATCTTTTTGGTGCTGACAGGCTTGTTTGACACAGAGTTCCCATAAACCTTTAATTTGTAAAATAACACAGTATCTGTGGAGCGCCATAAAGTGAAGTACAATAAAACAAGGTATGCCTGTAGTTCTTTATATAGTCTAGAAATTAAACTCTTATCAGATATATGATTTGCAAGTATGTTTCCCATTTTATGGGCTGTTTTTCACTTTTCTTTTTTTTAAAGATTTTTTTTTTTATTGAGGAATTGGGGGGATGGGAACAGTGCTGGGGAATTGGGGAAAGGGGAACAGACAAGTTGCTGTCGTTTTTGTTCTTCAGTCTAGTTGTGGAGACGTTGCTTCACTGGCCCAAATTGGCACCATC